CCCAGTGAAGCCTTTAAGGTAATTTACAAGGTCCCGCCAAACTACCCAAAGTGCCTGGGTCAACGTTTGCTAGCAACAACAGAAGCAACCGCGATCCGGTTGAGGAAGCCGGCTTTGTGCGCGCAAAAGAACTTCCTGCAAGCCCCGAACTTGGCATGGCCAACGTTTACGTGACTGCCTGCATCTTTCCGCGTTCTGATTGGTTCCCGCTTGTGAGGAAAGACGATTAATCTATTGTTTAAAACTAAACCTACCATGTAAATGTATGGCTTGAGGAGAATTTACCGAAAGTGCACACTCGTCAAATGCCGTTCTGAATTATCTAATGGGAATTTTTGCAACTTTAAAATGGATAAGGGTTCTGTATACTTTCTCAAAGAGGTCCATATCTATAAATGTTCCGTTCATATCTAACAAAATCCTTGTTGTCATTTTGGACGCCCGAGGCAATGAGAAAAGGGTTTCGGGGATGACAAAATGGCGATTCTACGACCTTTTTGTTCGGTTACATTTGGCAAGCACCTTCCTCTAAGGAATTATTAATGAGCGCCTTCACTAGTCCACGCTTCTCGAGGTTTAACCTCGGCAGCTATTTATCGGACTATTCCTTGAGGCGGTTAGGACATTTTGGACGTTATATTCATCATTTATATATCTGATCGTCCGCCATACTTTGACGTCATCTGCAAACATGATTCCCTTGCAGGCACGCAATCATTGACGTAAATTAAAAACAGCAATGGCCTGAACACAGAACCCTAACATACCCCATTCATAACTGGTGTTGCAATTGATTTCGCATTGCGAATACACGCCAACTTAACGGTTTCACAGTTATCCCATATTCTCGAACCTTGTATAGTAGCCAACGGTGTGTAACGCTAGCAAAGGCTTTTTTGAAGGCACTGGAAACGATATTGAGCCTTGTGTTTTCCTCTAACGAGCGGGGTAAGTACGCCCTTGAATAGAGCATATGGGTTAAGCGACTGATTTTGTCTAAAAATATCTTGCACACCGTCCAAAAAGCCTTTCTTTCGAGGAGCTCTTTTGGTAATCCTGTCCATAACCTTGCAGCAAATGCATGTTAGGTTTGTAGCGTCCAGGTAGTACTTGCACTCGGAGCACTAAAATCATTAAGTCGAATCCCGGGGTAGTGATAAAAAGCTGAAGGCACTTATGACGGAGATTTATTGCGTACAGAACTCCCAGTTGCTGTCTCAGGTGGCAGTGGTCGCTACCGAAGCCAGGCCTAGTGTAGACTGCGTCCAGCCAGAGCTTAGAAAGAATGGGACAGTGGTGGCAGTTGTTTAAGT